CTGAACGTTAGAACTGATAGTGAACTTAGAACTGATACTGTATGCTGTCTGACTCATTAAACCTGGTGTTTAATCATGTACTTTGTGTGTTATGATTTAACCAAATATCACCCAAGCTGTGTCCCATGGAACACTTACCATTTAAGATAATATTGCATAGTATTCCATGAAAAAGGGGTTCCATGGGTAAATAAACTTAAGGGGCATTGGTTGAATGGGTGTCATTTTTACAGGATTTTCCAAAGCCTCTAATGAGATAATGGGACTTGTAAATGCTTAAAATGAGGTTCTAGGGTACAGCCTTTCTCCCTTTGATCATGAATTTCTTTTCAAAGACTGCAATTTGAGAATCATGTTCATGACCCTTGTAGAAGTCCCATGAGGTAGTGAATTTATTTTGATCTGATGCTCTGTGTTCAAAGTATAAAACACAGTGCGCACAGTTCTGCAGCATCAGTGTGAAAAGCTTGGCCTGGGGAAAGAAGTAGGGGGAAGGCTTTACGGAAACCTAGATATATGAGTTGGGCCTTAAAAGATGAAGAGAGGTTTGCCAGCAGGGAAAGAAGTGAGAGGATAAGGAAAAGTGTCCCAGAGAAAGGAAATGACATGAACAGGAGCACAGAGGCTGGGAGATGGTCAGAGAAAGGAGAGTCCGTTTTAGAAATGGGAATCCCACAGACCCAGTTGAATTCCGCCTGCCAAGCTGTATCCCAGCCCCCTCCGGCATCCCTTGGGAAGAGTGGGCACCCCTCCCTGCTCTACCCCGAGACTGAAGGCCCCTGGAGGGCAGGAACCATGTCTTATGAATCATTTCCACCCCCTTTCCTCTACGCGGCTTGGGACACAGTTCACATACACGTGAGGCCACACAGCCCTCTTCATCTGAGATTTCTCCTCTGAAAATGAGAAAATACAATCCTCCCAGGATGGTTCTAACATTTAAATTTTGAAAATGTGGATAAAACATTTAGCACAGTGCCTGACATACAGTCCATGTGTAAGAAATGCTAGCTGTGAATGTCATTCGCTTAATAAATGTTTGTGGAAGGAAGAAGGGAAGGAGAGAAGGCGGGAGACTGCTGGCAGAAGAAAGAAGGTCAGCTACCCCATTTCACGGTCCCGCTTCACGAGCGAGCTGAAAGGCAAATGCCCTTTACCCTGCCTTTCAGGAACAATCTTCCTTGGCCTTGTTTCTCCAAGTGGCTGTTTTGGAGGCCCTGAAGTGAGTTGCTGGGTCCAATGTCAGCGCACGCTGCCAGGGCAGGGGGTCAGGGGGAGGTCATCCTGAACACCAGGGGACCACAAGGAACGGAGGATTCTTTCGGGGAGGACACCCCAGCCACTCCTCATGGCGGGGCCAGGCCCTGTGAGGCCCAGAGGCTGCAGGGAAGCACCCTGGAGGGTTTACTCTTGACATTGGCCCGTGAGTTCCCGGGATCTGATGAGAAGCCACAGGAAGGAACAGAGAGAGCCTGGCCTCCTCGTCAGGGGGACTGTGTACCTGATAAATTATAGTTTTATGATAAAATGCATGACATGGAGAGCCCAGGGACCCAAAGACATGGGCTGGATCTGTAAAGACAATGAATTCCAGAGGAGTTTTAAGTCCAGCCCTGACTGCCTCTGAGGAGACAAGAGGATAAAGAGAGGGAACAGGCCATATCTGAGGACTGGCCTCTTCCCGCACTGTTCCCTGTGAGCCAGGCACGTGGCCAACAGATGGGACATGAGACAGGGAAGGAGGAGGCAGCTGGGGAAGAGGAGAAAACACCCGACAGGGCCCATACCAGGTACGGGGTCAAGGGTGGCCAGCTTTTCTTAGAAACAGTATTTTTGGAGATGTTTTGCTCCCGGGGCAGAACGGCCCGACACTGACTCGTCAAAGGGGATGTAAAGCTTCTCCTTGTATGACACTGGCCATCCCCAGGGCCCCATGGGACTGGGTTGCATCCTACCCAGGAAGATGGGACCGGCATCCAAATGCTCTGACTTCACCTCTAGTTTTTGCAGGGAGAGGAAACTATCAAACTCTTAGAGGAAAACATAGGCAGAACACTCTATGACATAAATCACAGCAAGATCCTTTTTGACCCACCTCCTAGAGAAATGGAAATAAAAACAAAAATAAACAAATGGGACCTAATGACACTTCAAAGCTTTTGCACAGCAAAGGAAACCATAAACAAGACCAAAAGACAGCCCTCAGAATGGGAGAAAATATTTGCAAATGAAGCAACTGACAAAGGGTTTATCTCCAAAATTTACAAGCAGCTCATGCAGCTCAATATCAAAAAAACAAACAACCCAATCCAAAAATGGGCAGAAGACCTAAATAGACATTTCTCCAACGAAGACAGGCAGACTGCCAACAAACACATGGAAGAATGCTCAACATCATTAATTATTAGAGAAATGCAAATCAAAACTACAATGAGATATCATCTCACACCAGTCAGAATGGCCATCATCAAAAAATCTACAAACAATAAATGCTGGAGAGGGTGTGGAGAAAAGGGAACCCTCTTGCACTGTTGGTGGGAATGTAAATTGATACAGCCACTATGGAGAACAGTATGGAGGTTCCTTAAAAAACTACAAATAGAACTACCATACGACCCAGCAATCCCACTACTGGGCATATACCCTGAGAAAACCATAATTCAAAAAGAGTCATGTACCACAATGTTCATTGCAGCTCTATTTACAATAGCCCAGAGATGGAAACAACCTAAGTGTCCATCATCGGATGAATGGATAAAGAAGATGTGGCACATATATACAATGGAATATTACTCAGCCATAAAAAGAAACGAAATTGAGCTATTTGTAATAAGGTGGATAGACCTAGAGTCTGTCATACAGAGTGAAGTAAGTCAGAAAGAGAAAGACAAATACCGTATGCTAACACATATATATGGAATTTAAGAAAAAAAAATGTCATGAAGAACCTACGGGTAAGACGGGAATAAAGACACAGACCTACTAGAGAATGGACTTGAGGACACGAGGAGGCGGAAGGGTAAGCTGTGACAAAGTGAGAGAGTGGCATGGACATATATACACTACCAAACGTAAAATAGCTAGCTAGTGGGAAGCAGCCGCATAGCACAGGGAGATCAGCTCTGTGCTTTGTGACCACCTAGAGGGGTGGGATAGGGAGGGTGGGAGGGAGGGAGACGCAAGAGGGAGGAGGTATGGGAACATATGTATATGTATAACTGATTCACTTTGTTATAAAGCAGAAACTAACACACCATTGTAAAGCAATTATACTCCAATAATAAATAAATAAATAAATAAATTAATTAATTAATTAAAGGTGAGGAGCCTGAAATCCAATTTCTATCCTTAGATTAAGTAACTTCACAAGTATGAATCAAAGAAGCTCTGGGAGTTCACACACACAGGCAGGAAGATTCACTGCCAAATTATCATAACAGTGAAAGACTGAAAACCTCCTACGAGCTCGCTGTTGGGGGCTGGTTAGTAAGTTGTGGCACTGCATTTAACACATATATGTTCATGTCTGTCTAAATAAAGAAATAAAATATCGATTATTTTTGGACAGTGTAATAGGTGATTTTTGTTTTTTCTGTTCTGAAGCCTAGGAGCAGGGGGGGGAATTCACCTTTGCTTCTGTTTATAAAACACTTTGTCAGTGTAAAAAAATGCAGAATAGTACCAAGAGAAAAAAGAGAAATAAAAAATAAATAAGATTAAAAAAGAGATTACGGATGATCTTCATTCCCTTCCTCATGCTTTTCTGTATTTTCGAGTCCACTCTAAGGGGTTTACGATTTGAATTGGAACAACAACTGTTCATGTTTTAAAAGGCCAGCCTACCCCCGAAATAGCTTGCTCTTTGTCTCTGTGAAGAGGCCTGAAGTTCTGTCACTGGCTAGACCTTTGTCCTCAGGCACCGTGAGCACTGAGGTAAGAGTCAAAGGATCCAAAGTTCAGCATGAGACCTTAGAAAAGTTATTTACTCATGTTGGGCCTTAATGAATCTGTCTGTAAAATGGGAACGTCTGTTTTGCTTACTGAAAAGAGCCCTTGTGAAGAGCAAGTTCACAACCTGCTCAACTGTAAAGACCACATAAATGGAAGAAGAAAACAGAGTCCTGATGAAATGCAGAGGCTCCCAGTAAGTTACAGTAACCATCGCTTTTGTGAAGGAAAACAGCTTCCACGTCATTTAAAGATTGAGGGACCATTTGCCTGGGCAGAGAATAAAAGACCATCAACATGATGGTGGCATTTCTCACCCACGGGCTGCTCCTCCCTGGAACCCTCTGCCCTAGAAAAGGGGAATGATTAAGATCCCTGACCCCGGTCCTTCACTTAGAAATATTAAAGGACACGGGACACAGTCCGAGTTCTCTGTCAGATACATCAGATCTTTTAAATTCTGACCACAACCCACCGCCCAGGCTCATAATCTGACACTCTCAAACGCTCACACCTAACACGCCAGCCAGCCATTCCCCAAATATTCCGGATACTTTCAGAATACTGAGCCTTTGCATATGCTGTACCCTCAGCTCCTAAAGCCTCCCAGTTCCTTATTGGACTAGCATCTTGTTCTCAGGCTTTGAAATCCAGTTCCAGTGTCACCACTCCCTACAGCTCCACCGTACCTGGCAGAGTTGTTAGTAGTTTAGTGTTTCCCGAACGCTTGATTTAAACCTCTGGAGTTGGACCAAGTCAGAAATAAAGATAATTTACATATGTGTGTGTGCTTGTGTGTGTGTGTGTGTGTATACACATTACTTACATACATATATGATACATAAACAATAGTTTCTGGATGTAGATAATGATCTGTATTTGCTTCAACAATAGTAACCATGACAACGATGTTGCTGAAGATGTCTAAGTAGGCACTCAATAAACGTTTGTGGTACAAGCAAACAAAGACACATGGCTCCAAAGGAAGGGCGGGGAGTCCGGTGCGGCAGGGAAGGTACTAACAGAATCTCATCAGAGGGGCCATGACTCACGGGGTGGTCCGCATCCAGTTCCGCTCCATAGCTGAGAATCTGATTGGCAAATCTGTCGAGCTCTTGAATGGTTCTTGGGAACCAGGGCACTGCAACACAGAAAGGGCAAAGTCCTGAGCAGCAGATTGGCAGGACGCGGCCAAAGGCCTCACTGAGATCAGAAGCTTGGGACCAGCTCCAATTAAAGTCCACGGTGGTGGCAAGTGGGGTCCCAGATAACCCCCGAAAGTCAAATCTTATTTTCCTTGGAAACTAATTTTATTTACTTATTTGCTTATTCAACTTTACTGAAGTATAATCAACAAAAATTGAAGGTATTTTAAGCATATACCATGGGGATTTGATAGACATATACATGGTGAGAGGATTCTCCCCATTCACATGCATCACCTCATATATTTATCTTTTGTGGAGGGAGGATTCTACTCTCTTTGCAAATTTCATTGCTGCAATACAGTGTTATCGACTATAGTCATTATGTTTTACGTTAGATCCTCAGACCTTAGTCATCTTATAGCTGAAAGTTTGTACCCTTTTACCAACCTCTCCCTACTTCCCGACACTGAAGCCCCTGGCAACCAGTTATCTACTCTCTGTTTCTATGAGTTTACCTTTTTTCTTTTTGAAGATTCCACCTAGAGGTGATACCATGCGGTATTTAACTTTTTTTTCTGTCTGACTTATTTCACTTAGCACCTTGGAAACTAATTTGAAAACACATTCCTAAACATACTCTCTTTCCTGGAAATTTTCTCTGAATTATCTCAAAATTCATCTCCTTTCCACCTATCGTGGCATGGTGGAGTGGTTTTTGAAGGTTTACTGTAGCAGCAGAATATTTCATGTAATATGTGTTTCAGGCATATTCCGGAATATAAATTAGGTAAAACAGAGCTGTTCTACTGTAAGCACAGATGAGCTCGTGAGCTCTCTTCTCTTGACCCCATCTTCCTATCATGAGTCTCCCTCCCAAAAGGGCCCCCAGGGAGCCCAGCAAAACCGTTTGATGCCAAAGCCAATTTGAAAGCCACTGGTGACATAGAATGAATGCAGTCCGGCAGTTTGACGAGGCCTTGCAGCACCTACGAATCTGTGGGCTTGTTCTGAAGCAGCAGCATAGTGGGAGAGAAGATGGGGTCTGCGTTGTGTGACCCACAGTGACTGGGTCCTGCAGAGGGACCCCAGGGCGAAGCGCAGGTGGTAGCTCCTAAATGTATGTGGCCTTCAAGAAAGAAGACACACTGGGAGTGGAGTCATCCTAAGAATGAACAGACGAGGACATTTTGAACTGTAAGTTCCAAGCAATCAGGAGCCAGGCAGGAGTGCACTGTAGTTCTAGGTGCATGGAGGGAAAGGAGGGAGGAAAGTTTAGGGGAAAAGATGCTGAACCTACAGCCAGTTAGTTCTGGCTTAGAATCTAGGCCCCAGCTGCCTATTCATCTTCTCTGTGTCTCAGTCCCAACTCCGTGAAACGGAGAATAGCAGCAACAGCAATAGAAAGCATCCCAAACATTTTTTGAGACCTTACCACGTGCCAGCCTCTATGCTTAGCATTTTTGGTGAAATATCTCCTTTAATCTGGGGATTGTTGCGGGGTGTAAATGAGAATGCAGGCACAGGGTGCAGCCGAGTGGCCCACAAAAAGGTAGCTTTCCATCTCTTGCACGTTATTTCTGATTCTGGCCCTGCTCGGGTCGGGCAGGAAAGAACATGCGTGCCATCTAGTGGCCAGAGTGGGGAACTGTCTTCCATGGTCTATAATAACGGCATCAGACGGGAATCAGCTGCATTCCACCAAAAGAAGATGCTTATCTGAATAGCAGTAATGACGGTCCATTTAGAGCCTCGTTTCCATAGATCTGAGATGCTAAGCTTTCTAATTCCTATGTTAGTAATAAAAACTAACACTGAGTATCATTCTAAATACTTTACTTAGTATTTGTACTATTGGTGGGTACTGCTGGTCTCCCCACATTATAAATGAGAAAACTGAGATACAGAGAGGTTAAGTGACAAACCCAAATACACACACTGCTAGGAAACAGTGGATTCAGGATTGGAACTCGGGCTTGGATGACTCTGTGGTCTCAGTTCTGGATCGCAAAATCTGTCCTGCCAGGTATGGGGGTGGGGCGCACAGTGGTTGTGAGGGCTGGAGCCTGACGGCCCGATTGTGTTTACAGTTTCCCACCTGAAGGCTTCCATGCCCCTAAAACCAGCCCACTTCTCAAGGTGAGCTCCCTATGATAGTAATAATGGGAACAGACGTAGTAATTCCAGCTACTGTTTATATAGCTCTTGCTGCGTGCTAGGCACTGTCCTAAACACTTTACATACCGTACCTCACCCAATTCTCCTAACAGGCCCATGAGGTAGGAGTTATTATTATCCCCATTTTACAGAAGAGGAAACTGAGGAACAGGGAGGGTAAGTCTCTTCATGGACCTCTGCGGTCCCAAAGGCTAGACTTTGGAGTCTGGGATGACTCCGCACCATGTTCTGCTCACTCAGCATGGGACCTGACTTCCCACTTTGTCACCTGAATTCTCCTCAAGCTTCTCTTTCTCCTTGAATCCAGTGCCTTCCCTTGCAAAATGGACCTCTGTTGTCAGCACTGAAAATGGGGTCTATTCCTTACCCGAGTTTGGAAGGGCTTGAGGAAGGACATCCTACTGCAGTCAGCCAGGACTCAGGATTTCCTCCAAGACCCTTCCTGGTTCTCTAGCATGTTGTCGCCCTGTTACCTCACTTCCAAGGCAGCCCATCCCCACTCGTTCATAGTCTCTCTTTTGCCTAAAAATTATCCATAACTCTGGCAGTAACAGCTGCCCCCAGCCCTTTCCTGCTGCACCCCTTTCTGACTTGGGGGGGGCGGGGTGGCCGTTAGCCCTGCCAAAGGCGTTTCCATGATTATGTACTGAGCATCCCCTACTACCAGGCACTGGACGTTGAGAGGTGAATACAGTGCAGTCTTCATGCCTGTGGTGCTTATATTCTAGTGAGGGTGACAAGGAATAAACAATAAATAAATTTAAATATATAACAATGCCGGGAAGTTCCTGAAGAAGAACAAAGCAGTGCAAGGAGATGGGGATACTATTTTATATAACATCCTGTGGTTCCAGACCCCAGGGTGAGGGTCCCAGAGACATGACATGACCTTGCCATGGCTCAAGGGGACTGTAATAGCCAGAGTCTATTCCTAGATCTGTCCCAGATCTGGTTCCCTATTTGCCTCAGGGAGACACAGACGGGTCATGGTTAAGGGCCTGGATAACAGAGCCACACAGCCTAGGCTTGAATGCTGTCTCTATATTTACCCTCTGTGGCATCCAGGACAAATTATTCCTCTTTGTGCCTCAGTCTTCCCATAAGTAAAGTGGGGATAATAAAGTATACTTTGTAGAAACAACATAAGTTTAAAAGAGTTAATATGTGTGATTTGTTGAGAACAGTGTCTGGTACATAGTAAATACAGACTCATGTTGGAAATATTGTGGGTTCGGTTCCAGACCACCGCAGTAAAGAGAATAGCACCATAAAGTGAGTCACGCGAATTTTGGGGTTTCCCAGTACATATAAGAGTTATGTTTACATTATACTGTAGTCTATTAAGCGTACAACAGTATTATGTATGAAAAAACAATGTACATACCTTAAATAAAAAATACGTTATTGCTAAAAAATGCTAAGCATCATCTGAGCCTTCAGTGAGTCATAGTAGTGATAGCAAAGATCACTGATCTCCGAACACCATAACAAATATAATCATGAAAAAGTTTGAACTATTGTGCGAGTTACCAAATTGGGACGCAGAGATAGGAAGTGAGCCAATGCTGTTGGGAAAATAGCACCAATAGACTTGCTTGACACAGGGCGGCCACAAACCTTCCATTTGTAAGAAACACAGAATCTATGAAGCACAGTAAAGCAAAGCACAACAGAAGAGGTACGTCTGTACTAGTGTTATTCAGCTGCAAGCTCCAGGGATTTTTTTTTTTTTCTTTTTACTCTGCCGTTAATATAGTGCAGGGAGCAGAGTAGAAAGTCTTTCCGCAAGGCCAGGAAGTCAACCACTTACTCTGTTGTGTAACTGAGTGAGCATTTGATCGCTCAGAGCCTTAGTTTCTGTAGCCACAAAATGGATTAAAACTGTCATTCCCTATTATTGCCATCATTGCATGCATTAAATGCTATAGGAAATGGGACACACCTTAGCAGAGTGACCGGCCCACACAGTAAGTGCTCAATCGGTGTTTACAATTAGGATGGGAAAAAGTTTAATGATGATGATGAAGGAGAAAAAGGAGGAGGGGAAGAGGAGGAAAGAAGGGAGACTGGAGTTATAAGCTCCTTTTCAATCTGGCTCTGATGTTACCAGGATTCCTGATCTTGGGCCTCAGTTTCCCCCTGTATAAAATTTGAGCTGGGGGATTCACTAGCCGCTGCAGCTCCTTTTGGGTTTCATATTCCAACTATGGAGGGCTGAGGCTGGCCAGGGGACACATGAAAATATATTGATACTTCCAGTCAATTAATGTGTCGGCCTCGCTTGTTTCTGGAAGTAGAGCCACTGCATTTCTTCAGCATCCAAAATGCATGGCCCCCACCATTTCCCTTTCTCTCACCCAAGAAACAGGGCTCTACTCCGGAGAGAAGCCTTGTTGTCCCCGCCTTGGTTCACAGCTGGGTGAACCAAGCTGGCCGGCTCCCAACTGAACGCCAGAGGGCAGCAGAGCAGCATATTTTCAGCTTTGGCTGACCTTTTTTTTTTTTCTTCTCTCCTCCAAAGGGAAAACACTTTGTAGTTGGGCCACATGGCTTGGTTCAGACCTCTTGGTGGAAAAAAATATCAGAGAACTTGAGAGGGCTGCAGAGACTCAAAGGATTCAAGTCTTGACAAAGAGAAGGCAAAGGTCGAAGCAGCTTAGCAAGCCCCAGGACCTAGTCAGGGAGACTGTCAGGGACCCCCAGGGGAGGGGGCACTGCGAGGCCATGGGGTGCTCACCCAAGTCCAGGGGCCTTCAGTGGCTTCTGGGCCCCATGATCATCCAGAAAAGGCCCAGAACAGAGCAGGCTAGAGAAGTGG